ATATTTTTGTAATGATTTTTTTATGGTTTTAACTGGTGCGACTTCTGTAAAAAACACAATTATAAATACCAGTTCCGGGCTTTAATTTCGACTTAAGATTTTTTTAAGCCCCAAGCGAAAAGTGATCAATTGCGCGCATTTGTTATTAAAAACAATTAGATTAACGTTTGTCACGTGCCGTTTCGTGACACGTTCGTAGCACGACATCAAAAACAATTACAAATTCTATAATTCTTATCAGAATCAGGGCTGCAAAGCTCAAGATGTGGTTCACTACTGGTTCACTGGTTCGAACTAGCTCTCTGCCTTAAAGAGCGGTTCGTGTAGGCTCTAGGTTTTTAGTTCTAGCTAGACTTTAAATAAAAACCCGTCTATTTTCTAACCTATAACTGCCCGTTGCACTGAAAACAATGCGAGCTTTACATGTTTACACCCAAAATTGGGACTTCCCGAATATGGTTAGCCAAATGTAATGCCAAAGGTTTTAATGCTTTGGAGCTGGGTATAAGCCAAAGGAATTCCTCTCAAAAAATAGGATTCAATTCGGCTTTCGGATCGATCTTTTTGTGATGAACTGGTTTGTTTCAAGGTTTGGTTCGACAAATAAAAATAACTTTGAATTTCCGTCTCGAACTAGTTCAGTTCATAATCGGATTCTCGTATGTTTAACTTCTTTTTATAAGCCCATTGATTTCAGCATAGAAATCAAATAGTTTATAAAAAGAGAGCATACTTGCAAGCTGTCCAACATAAAAAACACGACACATGTCCATCTCTAGGAGAATGCAATCAATTGAAATTGATGCGCAGAAACCAGGCGGCTTTCTAGGGTTAATAGCAATGCATGCCGTTAGCGAATCGTGTTCTGTTCTAGATCAATTTTCTACGCCTTGTCCACTCAAGCGCCCCGCTCCCCAGCGCTCTCGAACGCTTATCCTCTAATCTAAGGCACCGTTAACTTTGCTTTTGGTTCTGCTTTTGCTTTCGCATTGTTTTACTTTCTCGCTTTTTCGCTTTCGTCGCTTAACTGTAACTCGCTTGTGCATTTGTGTGCGAGGCAGAGCGAACAGAGTTGACGGCGTTTGGCACTAAAATATGTATATTGTATTAGTAATAAAATATTAAAAATTGTAAATAGATTAATCAACTAAACGCCGACTAACACACACTCTACGCCCGTCTACACACAACACTTGCAGAAACAAGAGAGCAACCACGAAAAGGCCATCGAAGCTGGCGCCATGGGCAGAACATTGGAAATAACGAAGCCGGAACCACAGCAGCCGCAGTCGGAGCAAACTGCAAAGCATGCGGACAAGGATGTGGAGGGCACAGTGAAGCGGCGACATGCGACCAGCAATCTGGAGGCAGCCACACATCTGTTCAAGGGCAGCGTCGGCGCGGGGCTCTTTGCCATGGGCGATTGCTTCAAGAATGGCGGCCTGGTGGGCTCCACATTGATGCTGCCCATAATTGCGATCATGTGCGTCCACTGCGAACGACTGCTCATACGCGGCTCCCTGCTGGCCGTCTCCAAGACGCCGGGTGCCACCTTTTACGATTACCCGGAGACGGTAGAGAAGTGCTTCGAGTACGGGCCACGACCTTTGCGCTGCATGTCGCGCGCCATGAAGCTCATCGTCGAGATGTTTCTCTGTGTTACGCAATTCGGTTTCTGTGCCATCTACTTTGTGTTCATCACGGAAAATCTCTACCAGGTGAGCGCAAAAGAAAAACGGAGTTTCTTTTTTAGAGTTATGCAAGTTTGGTTATTTTGATATATCACTTATTTTTAGTTAAACACATTTTTAAGTCATTTACATATACCCTTCCTGTGGCAACAGTGCTCAGTTAAATTACAGGGTATAGCCACAAACTATCAACATAACTCTTATCGACCTATCGTTTCTCAAGCAGTCCAGCAATGCGTCAACATTTTCTAAAAACTTAATTCTTCTATTTAATGTTGTCCATTTTGAGAGACTGTTTAAATGTGATCAAGTTTCTACAAGATTTAAATAAACAAAAGACTAAAAATAAAGAATATGAAGAGAAGATAATTAAGTAAAATATCAAATAATTTTAGATATAGACCCAGGACATTAAAAATTTTAAAAATAATAGGTCCGATTTCTTATAAAAATTACGAAACAGTTACACAACAGTTGTTAAGCTTAAAACAAGCTGAAAACATTTTTTATGCATACTTAAACCCAGCAATTCTGTAAAGTTCTAATTTTTTGAGGTTATGATTTCCTATAGAAAAATGTAAAACAATTTCTGCAATTAGTTTGCTATAGCTCGTGATTATGGCTGATATAAAATATATAAACGCCAAGTCGTTAATAATAGTTCATTTACATACCTTTTTCCAAACTAAACGAATATTGTGATATGTTATTATATATATTTTTTTGTGATAATTCAAATTTTTGCGCTCATTTGCAACACTATAAACTGAACAAGTGTCATGCGCGCACGTTTAAGCAGTTAAACATTCAGCATTTTTCAACACTAATATTATTTAAAAAATATATTTTTTCTTGTTTCAGGTGCTGCAACAGAATGGCATAGACATTAGCATGAGCATGGTAATGCTGATTACTCTGCTGCCGGCAATGATACCTTCCCTGATGACGAACCTAAAGTATATATCGCCGGTATCGCTGCTGGCCAACTTTGCGCTGTTATTTGGCCTGATTGCCACACTGACGATTGCCTTCTCGGACGGTCCGATGCCACCACTTGCGGAACGGCATTATTTCACGGGCGGCAGTCAGCTGGCGCTGTTCTTTGGCACCGCACTCTTCTCATACGAGGGCATTGCCCTGATCCTGCCGCTGCGCAATTCGATGCGCGAACCCGACAATTTTAGCAGCCGTTTCGGTGTGCTCAACGTAACGATGGTGTTCATCACGGCTCTGTTCATCTTCACGGGATTCGTTAGCTATGTGCGCTGGGGCGAGTATGTTGCCGGCAGCATTACGCTCAATCTGAATGTGGAGGATGTGTGAGTACAATCAATCAAATCGTAAAGCATTAAACCATATCCATATTTCTGATTTCTTCGTGCAGCATGTCGCAGGTCGTTAAGATGGTCGCCGCTTTGGGCGTCTTCTTTGGCTATCCCATACAGTTTTTTGTGATGATGAAAATTCTGTGGCCGCCCGTTAAGCGTGCCAATGGCTGTGCCCAAAAGTATCCGATTACCATGCAGGTGGCCCTGCGTTTCGTCATGATCATGATGACTTGTAAGTTGGCACATCATTTCAGACCAAATATCCAAAATTAAATCTGTATTGCTTTGTCCTGTCTCTTGCAGTTTGCGTCGCCCTGGTGGTGCCCCAATTGAATCTATTTATCTCACTAATCGGTGCATTATGCTCAACATCGCTGGCATTTGTTATACCTGTGATCATTGATTTTGTGACACGCACCCAGGTGCCCAAGGGCCTTGGCACCTGGATCTATTTCAAGAATATCGCCATTCTCACAATCGCCCTGCTGGGCATTGTCACGGGCACATATCAGAGCATTGTAGAGATTATTAGAGAGTTTAACTAGTAGTAGTAGGGCTTAATGGGCCCAAGTGCTTGCCAAGTATTTTGTAAATATGCTGTAAACGTGTGAATACCTTATAACGTTTCATTGTCCTTGTAATTTAAGTCTTATATCTATATAGTATTTTTTTTTTTCTGTTTGTGCTATTATTTGTTATTAATTTTAAGTTGTGCCTGCCGTGCCTATTTATATGTGGCCCGATTGATTTAATCGTCAACTGTTAATTGGCTTTCAAAGAAACGAAACTAGATAAAAACAAAAATATATTTTAATAAATGATTATACATTGTCTTTTATAAGTTTGATTTAAACTTGGCGCCATATATGTGAATACTTTGGGCATTTAGCAGCACTGCTGCAGGGCTGCAACAACGTTTTAACAGTCTTAAAATTGATTTAACAGTCGATTTTAGGAATGTTCTACTGGCCGGGACCAGAAAGGCTTTTCTCCATAAACTTCTTTCTGGCAAAACATATCCACCATTTATTTGGCTTATCATCCGTCGTATCGAAGACCTTCTCGAGCACTCGATAACCGGTTTCCTGGCGCAACTGCAGCAAATATTCACGCATTAGATCGGCATTATCTGGCTTGGTATAGACCGAATTAAGTGGAAATCCCGCATCGCCAGGTATATCAAACTTCGCTATGGCCATGGCATAGAGCTCCTGCTGCCCTTGCTCCTTGCTCGTGCAGCGAGCCAGTTTTTTTAGGCATTCGGTAATGTAGAGTGTTATATAGATAAGCACACGATCCACTTCCGACTGCAATACAACAATGAATTATTTAATAATAACAAAAATATGTTACTTTTAAACTACATTTGTGCAGCCCTACCTTGACTTCATACGTACGAAAGAAAACGTTTGCTTTAAAATAATATAGTGACTCATCAATAATATCGTTATCAGCATTAACACTGGGCGCTGGCCCTCGTACTTTGGTGCGCAACGGCAAAATGGCCATGTTGCCCACCTGCCGTTGGAACTCTTCTATTTCCGAATGATAGGCCTAGAAAATAGTAAGCAAAAGCGAGAATTAAACTTTTCAAGTTCAAATATTTGTTCAAAGGCGCTGCATATGTATGTCTTATAGTACCCAGTATTACTCATCGATCATTTTTTCATATGTTTTGTGAAAATGCGACAGGTCAAACTACTTACTGGCATTTTGAGAGGATTGTAATCAACTGAATTTCAACATTAAAACCGACAGAATTCAATTGTTTTCTTTTTATCAACTGCACTTTTTTTATGCGGGAAATACTTCAGCCCTGCGTTATCGAAAAGTAGTTATCGAAATTTTAAAGTTTGACGTAAGACGATAAGGTCAGCAAGTGCGTTTAGTTTGTCGAATATTGTTAAGCGAAATGTTATTTAACAGTCAATAAGCACGTTCAGTGTGGAGCAAATGATATGCGCATAACAGCTTCGATATTATTATACTAATAGTATACGGTCACACATGGAGCGCACGTTTTGCACTAAAAACAAATGAAGAAAAAAGTGAAAACAAAATCCGCAACGCTGCCCGTTGACGTGGAAAGTGATGAGGAAATGGTGGCGGAATCAAGGGAGCTAAATGACAACACAGATAAAAACATTGAGGCAGTCGCCGTTCCCAGCGCAGATGATAATGACGACGACGACGACGATGAAATGGATTTGGCACACTTCAAAGCCGGCGCTAAGGCAATCGTCCAGCCAAAGAAACGCAAGAAGGGCATTATTTATGTATCGAACATACCAAAGCACATGAATGTTACGCGTCTGCGTGAAATTCTCGGTGAATTTGGCAAAATCGGACGTGTCTACTTGCAGCCGGAAAAGAAGCCCGGTGAGTAGTAATTCGCGCCAATCAAGCGCTCGCTTATGCCAATTATGTTTTCTTTTTTTTTAGGTGGCGATAAAAAGGCCAAGAAAAATAAGCGTAAACGCTACAATATTCATTTTACCGAAGGCTGGGTGGAGTTCGAGTCGAAGCGTGTGGCCAAACAGATCGTGCCGCTGCTTAATAACAAGCAAATCTCGACGCGCAAAAAGTCACAGTTCTTCGACTCGCTGTGGAGCATGAAATATTTGCCGCGCTTCAAGTGGGTCCATCTGACGGAACGCATGAATTACGAGCAGGCGGTGCATAAGCAGCGTCTGCAGACGGAGGTGTCGCAGGCGCGGAAGGAGACGACCTTCTTCCAGAACAATCTGGACAAGAGCGAACACATAAAGAAGCTGGCAAAGAGGGCGAAAAAGTTAGCCAACGGTGGCGAGCAGGAGGCGTAGTAGCAGCAGTTTAATTATACCTGGTTTTTTTTTATTATTAAATAGAAATAAATATAAGTCGGCGCTAACGGCGCTGTTAATTTACATGAGAAAATCCTTGCGTGCTCATTTATGCGTTCACAGAGCTGCTTTTTGCGTTTGTGACTCGAATTTGCGCATACGTACTGTTAGTCTTACGTTGCACGGGTTGTCTTTGTTAACAAAGCTCCGTTCAATTTAGACTCGCTCTTGCCTAAAAAAGATAAATGAAAAAATATGTTAAAATAAATAAACCTGAGAATTATGCTAAAAGCGCTGTATACTTACATGTAATCGGTTTGCATTCTCTTGTTTTAAAACTGTTAACCAACTGTTGCGCTCACAGAGAGCCTGTTAACTTAACAGTCGCTTTTTGGATTCAGTCGCATAAAACTCATTGAGCGGACTGGCGCGACGGCGTCTGCGTGCGTTTACAATTTATTATTTTTTTACAATTTGTTTTTGTTGTGCATTGAAGCCTTGTTTTGATTAAAACGAGTCGAAAAGTGTTGAATTAAGTGTCCGTAAATGCGATACACAAGCGTTGCAATTGATAAATTTAATTCGGTATTGTTGTTATTGCGGTTTCCAGAGTAAAGTAAACCCGTTTACCAACACGCACAGTGTTTGGAATTGTTTGCATTTGACTTTGCTCTTGCTTTTGCTTGCCGTTGCGCGCGGCTTTTAGATGCAAATTTCATACACATTATGTACAAAGTTAATGCGAGAATTAAAATAAAGAATTAAATTATATTCAATGCATTCCTTCTTGCCGCGCTGTACAACAACAACAACGACAACACCAACCACCACCACCACCACAAGAGCCAAACTACGACGCCAACGCTGGCAAACACAACAACCACTACAGTTAGTAAACTGTAGCAACAGTTGGGGCGGCAAACAGAAATAAGCGAACAGCATTAAAGGTATGTACATACATATGCACGCAAATGCACTTACAATGCACACATTTATACATACATACACATATACATATATACATAATCCAAGCTCCGCTTTGTAAGACCAGCCAATGAGATTTGCGCCCACTACAATAAATATAACGGTATCGAAAGCTGCGTCGCTGCAGGCCGCGGCGTCAGTCCAAAAGCCCAACGCCCTTGACAGCTGTGTGCTGCGACGTCAGCAGAAACTCAATTGTGAAATGCAGCAAGAAAAAAGAAAAGGCAAAGGCATCCCAATCAAATGGAATTTAGCCGGTTTCCATAAAAGCAGACAAACTGCCAGACGACGACGGCAGCGGCACACAATTCTCAAGTGAGAGCGTCTCGCTGCAGGAGTTATTGCAGACGCCGGCAGAGGCCGCTGCAGCGGCCGCAGCGACGACGCCTCGCAAGTTTGTTTTGGGTTGGGTATCTGCTTTTGTTGTGACTTTCGCAGCGCAAGAAAGTACCGCTAAGCTGGTATCCTCTGGGCCCAGTAGGGTGAGGTGAACATGCACGGCGAGCTTTTATTACAGTTTTATAGTTTATATTCAATTTCAACTCGAATCTTGAGTATAAAGCTCAGTCCAATCCACTTGGGTTTCACATTCCATGCGAATAAGACAACAACAACGCGAAAATACACCCATTAAATTATGCAAATTTTAAAAAATTGGCGGGCAGGCAATGCCTTTAAAAAAAAAAAAAAAAAAAATTGAATAACAAGCAAAACACAACAACAATAATGACGAAAAAAAGAAATAATAATAACAGATACATTTCTTATTGTTTGCTTGAGAACTTGTTCTTTTGTTTGACATTTTGTGGCTTTTTTCACCTCTTTTTTTTTGTATCTCTTCGGAGCAGTGTAAAAAGTGACTCGAACGTGTTGGCTTAAAACGTTGAGAAATTCAGAAAGGGGCACACAATACGTTTCAGGCGGGCATTTGACTTTTGGCATACCCTTTGCCAGATTCACAGCTATTTTGTTGCCTTTTAAGTATGCCAAGTTGTATACCCTTTTATTTTGTGGCAAATCTCAAATCTTTATTCATATAAAATGCTTTTTTTTTTTGTTTGCCTCACTTTTTGCTAGTGGGTTGGGCAGAGCATTCATTAGAGCGTCTGTCGCGACGCCTGCGCTCTTGTTTTTGAAACGTTATGCTTGGTTTTAATACCCTTGCGGACGATATTATGCATTTGTATTGAATTGTGTAACACATAGGTAGATTCTTTCTATTTCTGTACAAATAGTCACTCACTTTATCGTATATCTCCCTATATATTTCTGAAAAGCTATATTGCTCTTAAAGCCCTTCACTGTGTCCCTCACATTTGATCAACTATTTCATATTGCTTAAATGAGAAGAAGAATTAGTTGATGATATAAAAAATATACCAATAATCTGCAAGGGTATTTAGAGATCGGATATACCAAAGATAACAACTCTCTCATGGTTTTCTATTGCCCATTTTTGAACTGAGGTCTGTTTTTGCCGCTCTTGTCTGTGTGGATCACATAGCTAAATACATATTATGTATAAATGTATTTAATTAGCATTTTTTTCTCTTGTATTAAATGATTTGATTGCGCAAATGTTGCGTGAGGTAGCATAAGAAGAGAAATTAGTTCAAACGGTGGCTGTCATAATTATGCAGACAGCGACACACACAATATTTATGTGCTGCACAACAACATTTTTAGTTTAGCGCCACAACTCAACACTGTCCAACAGCATGGTCATCATCAGCAACATCATAATCATCGTCATCGTCATCCGCTTGCCATTAGCCAGCTCGTATAAACATCAACGGTGCACGTCGTAGTCGAACTATTGCCAAAAACATGTGTGTGACAGGCAGGCAAATGCAGTTTGTGTGTCACAGCAAACAGAAGAGCCAAGGAACAAGCGGGACCCAACTAGAGATGGGCGCGTGAAACACACTCTAACCACAGCACGAAAAATAGACCAAAAGGTGCCATGTAACCCAAAAAATGAGCTAACTCAAAAACTGAGGTAATATCTGAATATCGCAGCTAAACTCAGCCCTTTCTCGAACTATCGCCGCATCTCTTAAAATATTCAAAATTTATGTTTTTTGGTTTTCGTGCTCGTGCCTCGTAACTGAGGTCTGCGCCCATCTCTGGACCTAACACACATATAAACAGTGAGCGCTAAAAGTTTACCGCTTTGTTATGCATCATGTGCACGCTGACACAGATTTTGGCTGCCCTTGCCAATTATTTATGTATGTATATGGAAAAACACATATGTATGTATGTATTTATGTATGTACATGTATGTTCAGTCATAGTATTTCAATTGGCAGGGCCTAAGACTTTAAGTACAAAAAGACACTCAATGCTAATTGGATGATTCTACAACACTGCAACACACACAACTTTGTTGTTTGACTAAGCTTTGCCAACACACACGCATATTTGTTGTTTAATCTAGGTTCACCTACCTTTTTGAAAATTAATTAATCATGTGTAATTACACAAGTAATTAATCAGCAAATTATTGTTATTAATATTGCAAGTTAGGCAAATCCTATGTGAACTCTTTCGTTTCATGCATACATTCATACATATGTATGTATGTATGTATGAGTAAAGTTCTTTAATTTTGATGAACAACTTTTTTCTAGGAATTTATTCTTATAGTCTGCGCTATCAGTTTCAATTATAAAACCTGTGAAAAACAAGCAAATTTCTTGAACACCGTTTTCGCAGAAAATCTTTTTTTGAGAATTTTGTGTTGTTTTCCTTTTTGTTCTGTTTTCAAACACTGTTGTGTATAGAAATTTTAAATAACCCTATAAAGTTATCTTCTAGAAATCTGTACATTTGAGATGTGATATATTAGAATTTTAATTTTGTATATGGTAAATATGAGATTATGGCCATGAGAGTTAACTGAAGAGGTTAAACATTCCAATTTGGAATTGACTTTTTTTAAGTCCAATAAAAGGAAAATCATGAATATATATATGTATGCATAAAATATTAAAATCTGACTCTCTTCGCCTTCTCGTGTCCCTTTTTCTACCTCTTGTCTCTCATCTATTTTCTCCCATCCGCTCCCAAAGTGAACAAATCTTGACTTTATGAGAAGCACATAGAAAGGCGATACGTAGTTTGTGGCTCTGCACTGGGTATCTTCGAGTGAAGCACTTTTTCTGGCTTGTTTTGCTTCATTTTTTTCCTCTCTTTTGCCCACGTTGAATACGCAATTTAACTGCAAATCGAGTACTTTTTCTGCGTCCCTTTGCTGCCATTCAAAATTGGATGCATGGATGTGCATCAAGTGCTCATGTTGCATGCTGGTCGTTAATGCAAACTGACATGCCTCAGAATTGGCTCGACAGACGTCAACGCCAGCACTTTTATTGTTAACTCATTCTGCGAATACGAATCCTCTGTCGAGAACCGCGAGACTGCACAAAGAGATTGTGGCACATCAAATTACAGTGAAACAAGTAAAGATGTTGCGCAGTCGTTATTATACGACTGTGCAATACTCTGCCAGCTGTTAGTTCCTTTCAAACTGTGACTCCAAGGCACTGAATTTCAAGGGAGATATGTATATATGTAGATATTATGCGAATAGGCGGAAAGAAAAGAAACTTCCAGAAATTTCTAATTTGCAATAAACCAACGCATACTCTCTTTTCGTTTTGACAGTAGAGTATAATAACAATGGGATGACTGTCAAGAGCTTTTGCGGAATTTGCTTACATTGATATTGCACATACATATGTATGTACATATGTACATATATTATATGCATATGTATATTCATATGTAAACACGAGCCGAGCTTTTGAACTGTGGCTGCTTAAAGTGCAGTTAGAAAGCGGCGCTTTTGAAAAACGAAGCTGCCAATTGGCAGGTCGCACGGCGTTGCCAGCCAAACTCAAATGAAATTCCTGTAATGTTCTCGTTTCATGTGTGTGTGCGTGCGTGCGTGTGTGTGTGTGGCTGTTGTCTGTATGAGTTTTATTTTACTTTTATGTGTTTTTCCATTTCACACTTCTTTTTATGCGCTGCACGTTTTGTGCTGCTGTTGCTGCTGATGTTGTTGTTGTTGTTGCAGCTGTGCGCATTTCTGCCTGCCGGCTGCATAGTTTTTCCATTGAGGGGGAAAACTTTTCGACAGCAGCCACCAACAAACAACAACAAAAGCAATAGCAATAGCAATAGCAATAGCAATAACAACAACAACAACAACACATTGCCAATATACTGTGTTGAAGGCGGCCATAACGGTTTCAGTGCGTTCATTGGCACCAACTATTCAGCAAAAGCACCAGCCGAAGGCCTTGGACATTTGCATCCGAGAAAACGCTCGAAACCGGACGCACTTTGTCACCCACCGTCACATTGATCTTTAATGGTGCGTCGCGACGTGTGAGTGCGTGATGCATGACATATGTATGTATGTACATGCGCACACACACATGCATATGTACATATGCTGAAGATGGGAATTCTAGTTCATCTTGAATATGTTCAGTGGTTCATATTGTGAGTCGTGAATTGAGGCAGTTATTTAATTCACTTCTCTTCTACTCTTTTCCGTTTTAATTTTAGTTTAGTCATCGTTCTGTTAAAGTAATAAATTAAACAACTTTCTTAAATAACTAAATGTATGAAAAACGAGGTTTTTTTTAGTGTCTTCTTTAAAAAACTGACTAATGTAGTTTCACATATACTAAAGCTTAAAGTATCCATATCATATTTGGCTCAACAACTAAATAAACAGAATGTTTTTTTTTATAAAATACAAAAAAAAAGAATCTTTTCTTTGGCTGTTCATTTTAATGAACCGTTCAATTGAACTTGTTCCAATAACATTTCAAATGTGGCCAAACCTTTTCCTGTCTGTTCCCATTTTGAAATGAAGAAGCGACAAAAAACTTCTTACCATGCCGTAAACGCATATTCACAATGACAATGGACGCAACAAAAAATTCAA